TAGAGGCTTTATCTTTATCCAAAGATTCTTAAATAATCTCCCACTAAAATTTATTAATTACCCACATAATTAAGAATTGTCTCAAATTACTTAAAATTTTATATATTTTTAATATATTTTATACATCCTACTATCACAGTCATATGGTACCTTGTTTGGTACTAGTCCATAAGTATCAAGTATTATAGCTCGAACCATATTTTATCCCAAAATGACAAATTTTGACCAACCTCATTTTCTTCAACTCGTTTACCCTCTCACCTTCACGATTTTACTTATCATTTGTTATAAATATCATAAATACCTATAATCTCAAAAAAAAAAAAAAGTCTTGTCGTCATCTTAAAGTACTACTTTTACAAATTTACAATATTAAAATAATAAATCGTGGTACCATATAAAATCAATACATATACTATTATTTCGTTAAAATATCCATGTAAAAATACATATATTTTCTCAACTTTTAATTTTGCTAATCTCGTATAAAGAGTACAAATTCTCGTACGCTTAATTCTTAAAATGATAAAAAATAACCTTCTTTTCTTGCGAGAAAATAATTTCTATCTTTGTTTTAGATCCTCGTATTTCCACGAGTAATGATAAAAAGGGATAGATATGATCTTTATGGTTGTAATAATTATAATGACTACTTATGTTTTTTTAAAACCTCGCTTTGATAAGACCTCATTCCTAAATTCATATGACGTTTTTTTTGAGATCTTAAGATGTTAGACACCTCTTATACTAAAAATATCATTTAGTACAACTATTACAAATTTACAAGAGTAATATTCATTTATCTAATCAAAATCAAATTAGAAATCATGTTTTTACAATCTAACGTTGTTATTCTTCTTCTTTTTCTTTTTAGTTGAGTAGACATTTTAATTGATTTTGTAATGTTCTATAACCGAGTATTTTATATCTTTGAAGTCCCAATAGGTCAGATATATTTTCTAAACAACTATGTTTTACGTCAGCAAAAATGACGACATGAAAATTTTGGTGTCTATTTTTTTGTGTTGCATATAATCCAAAATAGATGTTATACACTAATGTGTGGGGAAGCAACTCAAAACATTCCTTCCAACCCTATATCAAAATGGTCGAGAAAAATATGGTCCACTATAGGAGACTCCATTACTTGTCAATACTAATGTTCTCCCCAACCTACAAGACACAAACACAGATTTGATAGAGAAGGGGAGCAAGACATCTCTAAGGAACTATTCTACGCTAACATAATATCTAGCGGCATCAAGGTTGTTAACTTACAGGGTCTCATAATAATAATGTCTTAAAACCTCTATAACTTCCTAATAGACATAATCCCTTCGAACTCATGTGGATTTACTACGACACATCCTAATGCTAAGGTACGGTATGTAACATCCTTCCCCCTTTAAAACATTCATCCTCGAATGTTAAATCTTTGAGATTTCCAAAACATTCGCTAACGTCTCCTCTGTATACTAAACTAAAACCAAACCTCTATCTGAGCTCTGGACTATTTACGACCTTTTTGTACTTGAGTATTCGTATCTTCTTCACCTTTACGTTACTTACCTTTCAATCTTGCATCATATTTTTATTTATTTCATAACTTCCCTTCCACATAAGTAGAAATTACATCTATGTCTTAAAGCTCTATTGTGATAGCACCTCTAGTGCATACAAAATTCGGTGGAGACTTTATACTAACTTCTTATGGCTTATCTCTATGGCACGATTTGGAAACAAAAGAAGGGTAACATTTCCTAAATGTCCTATAGCCTCTTAATTATAAATATGGCGCGCAACACACCTATAAGTGAGACTCTACTAGATACAATTTTGTAGACTCCCTAGGATACGACCCACTCTGATACCACTTTGTCACGCCCCAACCTTGGGAGGTGTGGCTGGCATCCGGTGCCGCACTGGCCTGAGCGAACCACTCTGAAACTCATTCATTTCTTTTGTAACTATCATGGGTTAACATGGCCACAACTCATAATGTACAATTATAAGTGGACAACATTGTATCACTGAACCATTTTTCTTAAAATATGAATACATATGGACCGTCAAGGCCTCTGACATACTATACAAAATGAACCTCTATCTACAAAGCTTCTAAGATTATTCAACATTAAATGGGACAGGGTACGGGCCTACCCATATTTCTGTAGCAAAACTCTGACACGATGACTCAGAGACTCGGCCGCACTCCGAATAAGGTGGAGTCTTACCGATCCTTCGCTGAATGCCAATCTCTTCTACCATGAGGGCTCGTCAAACTGATTATCTAGACCTGCAGGCATGAATGCAGCATCCACAACAAAAGGACGTCAGTACGAATAATCTACCGAGTATGTAAGGCATGTAAATTAGTATATAAAGAACATGGAAAAACATGAAGTAAAGGATTCAACCTGTAAGTCTGGATAGCTTTGTAAATTATGAAATAATTATAGTGTCCACGTCGTGCATAGGTACATATTTCATAACGTCATCAGGCCTCTGAGGGCATCCCATCATATCATCTCAGCCACTGTGGGAAAAATTATCAACGTATACCAGCTGATAAGGTGGTGGTGCGTATATAACGCCATAACCTTTCCCATATCTCATATACATATATATACGCGTATATAACTTCATATGGTCATAGGTCAATGTGCATGTATAAATGCATGAAATGCATATGAAATACGTTAATAAATTCTCTTGGTATGTCATAAGACCATTATGCCTCTTATTAATATCATGAAATAAACGTTTTCAACTTATGTATTTTTCTAAGACAGATGATAGAATAATATGACACATGGGGAATCAAGAACATACACATCTCTAATATTTTTACGAATAGAGTACTTTATGAAAGTTGTGCATTTGCTCATTTCGTTTGTATAATTTGGATCATGCCAAAAAGAAAGAAGAGATAGCCTTAACATACCTGATTATAAGTCTATAAATATGCATGGTAGGTAAATATTCAGCATCTCTCATTCCGTTGTATATTTTTTTCACTTCAAATATGTCACCAGCTTGTGAAAATGCCTCAAGCATAAAAAATGGAACTCTTACTAATCTTGAAACCCATATCTTGTAGTTCCTAAATTAGAACATATAGCTCGTTTAATCTACCATAAAAAATTAATGCTTGCATGAGATTGTTGATGGTATCCACTATAGGAGAAGGACCATTTCTCATCGTGGTATTGAAAATAGCTCTAGCTTTCTCATAAAACCCACTTAAAGCATAAGCTTGTATTAATGCATTCCAAGCCGCCCTCTCTATCACACCATGTCGTTCTTCTAAAGTTGTGACAACACTCTACCTTTTTAACTACTTTCAGCTGTAATATCTTATTAGTTAAAAATTGGACCCTTTTACGCCAATCTTTAGCCCTTTTAAATGCAAGTTTAGTCATTTTCTTAGCCTTAGTCCTACTAGGCCTACCCAATACCTCTTAGTTTTCATCAACTCAACTCTAAAAGATCTCTCTCTCTCTCACACATGCATACACTTGTATATGTATGAATATATGAATATGTGAGGTGTGTATAGAGAGAAAATTTCTACGAGGGGCATAAAAAATGTTATTTTGCTTTCTTGATAACACATTTTCACCAAATGATATAAGGTTCTTATCTCTTTAAATGTTGCCAACTCAATGAAATGACTTGTAGAAGCTTCTTGATTTGATGATATTAATAAATCGATCTGAAATAGTGGTGGATAATATTCTGTACAAATTTAACTTTTGAGAAGATGGTATACAAGGTTGGAATGCGGAGACTCAAAAATTTGAAACAAGGTTTTCATGATGGGGAGTAAAATACGCGATGCACTCTTTTTTCCTTACTAAGGTTTTATTTCCACGGGGTTTTCCTTACAAGTTTTTAATGAGGCACCTAGCAATGCGTATTAGGAAATATGTATACTCTTTTTTCTTCACTAGGATTTTTTCCTTGTAAGATTTTAATGAGGCACATTATCTTTTAATGAACATCCAAGGGGGAGTGTTATAAATATATATTATATTATGGATGTTCATTTAGTACTCCATTGTAAATAAGCTTCATGAAGAAGCTTATCCATATGGGACTCCGCCGTAAATATGGTTATCTATTTAGTACTCTATTGGAAATAAGCTTCCTGAAGAAGCTTATCATTTCGGTACTCCGTTATGGATAAATATTACCCCCGACAGAAGATTATCTATATCTGGTACAATAGTAGCTTACAAGCAACTTACAAGAAGCTTACACAGCAGCTTGCAGTAGCAGCTTACAAGTAGCTTACACAACAGCTTACAAGCAACTTACAAGCAGCTTACACAACAGCTTGCAGTAGCAGCTTACAAGCAGCTTACACAGCAGCTTGCAGCAGCAACTTACACAACAACTTACAAAGTATCTTGCAGTAGCAGCTTACACAACAGCTTCCTTTCTTCTATAAATAGAGGAGATTTCAGTTCATTATGTACATGAATTTGAAATTGAATAATAAATATCTCTCTACTTGTTTTTGATTTCTTTACTTTAAAATCTTTATTTTATAACAAAAGAGTACTACTCCTTCCGTTCCAATTTATGTGAACCTGTTTGACTGGGCACGAAATTTAAGAAAAAATGAAAATTTCTGGAATTTGTGATTTTAAACAAGTCAAAAAGGGGCCCAAAGTAGTTGTGTGATTATAAAACTTCTTATTAAGGATATAATTATAAGTTTAAGCTAAATTGTTTCTAAATTTAAAAATTAATCATTCTTTTTGGAACGAACCAAAAGAAAATAATTTTTACATAATTGAATTTGTTACACACAATCCACAAATTCGCAATAAATTTCGTTCACACACGAAACCCAATTAAGTAGGGTCCGCACACAACACCAAATCCATGTCACCAAATTCCATCCGTCCACGTCCTCTCCGGGGAATCTATTGAAGATGGGAGTCATCCTACGTGTCATCCCACCAAAGCTATAAAATCATCAATAGCCGTTAAGTTTCCAGCCACCCATTTTCTTCATCCCCAGTTTCTGTAACAGAGCACTCCCTCCCAGAATATTCCTTCAGTAGAAAAACCCTAGAAAGCTTCAACTCAACTGAAATCTGATCAGAAAAATGATGAATTTCAAGCCGCCGGAGACCAGAATGACATCGTCCCCGGCGGAGAAAGCCTTGTCGTTGATTTCTAAGGGATGGGAAGAGGTACGATCATCTGCGGACGCGGATTTACAACTCATCAAAAACCGAGCCAACTCGTTCAAGAACTTAGCCGATAAGGAACTCGAAAATTTCATTAACTCAGCTTCAAAATCACCCTTCATTGTCCCAACTATTACGGCTTCTGCCACTACGGCTCCGCAACCGCAAGAGATCGACTTCGTGAAGAAGCTCCGGCCTAAATTGTCGGAAATACGTAGGGCTTATTCTTCACCGGACTTTAAGTGGGCCCCAAAAGGGAAGCTTCGAATTGACCTGTCAAGCATTAAGAATGCGATTGTGGCGGAGGAGGAAGAGGAGGAGGATGAGAGCTTCGGGAAATGGAGGAGAGTGAGGTTTAAGGAGGAAGTGCAATTTGGTGATGTTAATTGGGAGCCAATTAAGGCTTTTAGGACTCGGCTTAGGGAGCTGGAGGAAGAGCTCAAGAGCACAAGTTCGTCATCCGTGGATATTTTTGAAGGGATTAAGAATAGTGAATTTGTGGAGAAAGTAAAATCAAGCTTGGTAAGTAGGTTTTTTGGTCCGTTGTTATCATCTCTGATTATTTACACATATGGTAGTTTGGGTTATTAAGTTATTCATTAATATTCAGTTTAATACTCTTAAGAATCATGTAGTATTTTGTGTTTACACCAACCAAATGAATGCATAACATGTCATGACATACATTTTATCACTAAATTATTAGTTAATTAATAAACATTCTCACCTTAATTTATGGCTTAATCATGGTAAATTAGTATAGTTTGGTATAAACACCAGGTGCGGGTAAGTCTAAGTGGCGTTTGATGGGCAAAATTTAATTTTCAAAATAATTTGTTTTTGCTTCGTTTTGGCTCAAAGAAGGCAGTCCAGTGTATGAAGTATCCCATATTCATGGTCTGAGGAAGGGCCACACCTCAAGGGGATGTAAATGCAGCCTACCCTGACTCGAGCATTAGTGGTTGATTCCACGACTCGTATCCGTATGTATAGGTTACATTGAGACAACTTTATTGTTACTTTAAGGCTTCCCTTCATTGCTTTGTCTTGCCCGTTTTTGCAAAAAATAAAGGACTTTTTTCTTAGAAACTTTCAAAAAAATGTTTTTGCCCAAACGTACAAAATTCAAAAGCTGAGTGCAGATTTTTATCCACGAACATTCACCGATTTGTTTGGGCTGTTTTTGTAAATTAAAAAAAAAGTTGGTGAAATTTCCTTTTTTTTGTTTTGGCAAAAACAGCACAAACAAATCGAGTTTACAAAAAATGAGATAATATACCTTAGGTTTAGAATTTTTCCAACCAAATGCCACCTAAATTTCACTTTCGAACTTCAGGTTTTTCAGCTTGTCCTAATTTACTGGAAAAAGAAGTTGGGTGTTTGCTTCATAGAATTGCTGTGCAGGAATGATAACATAGAGATTATTAAGCGGTCAATAAATTTACTTTCACTGGGATTTTTATGCATAGATTGCAGTACCAAAGTCGAAAATTAACTCTACGCTGGTATTGCTAATACACATTCTTATTCTAGATTCAATCATGTATAAACAGTGTGATTCTGTTTGTAGAAATTTTGGTAAGACAGAACTGTCCATCAAAAGTTGTCACTTCATGAAATGAACCTTGAGTGTGATTCTCCTGGTTGAAGTTTTCATCTTTAATAATTGCTCTGTAGGATCCATCACCAACTCTGGTGTCTCAACTCTATTTGCAAGGAATCTCTCTTATTTTTGAAATCTTTATTCGTGTGGATTGGTGTGCGTGAACGGCCCAGTTTGCTTTTTTCTAAGTCATAGCATATTTTTTCTAGCATCCTTCTAAATTTTATTTTGAATCCCGACAATTTGTCAAATAGGTCGGAGTTTCTTCTTATTTGTAAGTCAGTGCTTGATGAGCTCTATATTACTTCATAAAAAATGATTATTTTTGGTCCTGATGAAGGAAAAGCTTGGTCTGCATAACTTGTTAAGAATGATGCTAGTCTCAATCTTTTCTTTCTCTTCCTTCACCATCCAGTGACTTGTTTCTTATCATGGCTTTCCTTACTGTTCACATTATATATTGATCTGGTTTCACATGATTAATCTGTTGCTAATGTGTTTGTCTAATAATGTTCCAGAAATCAATTTGCAAGGAACCAGAAGAGACAACGGTTGGTGCCTTATCTTTTAACATCATGAAATTACAATTACATGATTTTGAATGTGGTTAAACTTTTCAGCAACAGTATCTTGCAATTAATGATTTGCTTAGTAAGTCAGGAGAGGATGAGAAGTAAGGAATGGAAGATGAAAGGAAAGCAGTACCTCTACATTGTTTGGTTAAATAAATTGGAAATTTGACGAGCAAATCTCAGAGAGGAGAAATTGGGCTAGCGATTACATGTCAAGTGGATCTGTCTTTAGATTTACATCTTTATTCAAAATTTGATACAATATATTTTAACTAGGAAATTGACTGAGGTTTAAGCTATTGCTGAACTTAAACAATGGACTGAAAATTCAGTCAGACTGAAGACTTTTTTTCTGTTTTCTTTACATGCTCTTTATTTGTGCAGGGAGTTCCCCCCCTGGATGTACCGGAGTTGTTAGCATATTTGGTTAGACAGTCAAGCCCATTTTTGGATCAAATTGGCATAAGAAGAGGTAAGTCTGTAAAATGGTTACTTTATCAAAACAAAAAGAAGGTCTGTCAAATGGTTGTGGCTTCCATAAACTTGTTGATGCAGCCTGGGATTGTGTTTCTCTAGTTTGTTATACTCAGTGTTGTAAAAAACGTGCGCTTCTCGCTTAAAGCGCTGAAGAGACGCGGGGCGAGGCTAGTTCGCTTTTCTGCCATAAAAGCGACTCACATGAAAAAAGCGCACGCTTTACCCTGTTAAGCGAGAAACGCAGCGATCCAAAAAGCGCAAAAAAGCGCGCTTAAGCGAGGTTAAGCATCTGTTAGGTTTTTTTTTTAAAAAAAATTGGCAAAAACTTAAACACAAACAAACACTTCTTCTCCAAGCGACTGCTGCTCCAACGACTGCTTCAGTGCTTCTTCTCTGTAAGTTTCTTCTTCTCTCTCCTTCTCTTCTTCTTCTTCTTCTTCTCTTCATCTCTTCTTCTTCTTCTTCTTCTTCTTCTTCTTCTTCTTCTTCTTCTTCTTCTTCTTCTTCTGCTTCTTCTTCTTTCCTGTTCGACTCCTTTCCTCTTCTTTTTTCTATTTTTTTTTCAGTTTTTATTGCTCTATTCTTGTGCGGTTGTGCCCTAATTTCTGCTCTGTACTTTCTATGCTCTGTTTTTCTCTTCTTCTTTCTATTTTTTTCACTTTTTATTGCTCTGTTTTTGTGCCCTAATCTATGCTCTGTTTTTCTGGTTTGTATTTCTCTGGTTCGGAAAAAAATTTCACTGTTCTGTTCTGTTTTTTTTTTTTTTTTTTTTTTTGTTGTTGATTGTAGTAAATTCAATCTTATTCAATGGCATCAATTCTTGATTTAAGAATTGAAACATCTGCTTAATATGTTATTTTTATTGAGTTCTTGGCCATTTATCTATGCCTATTTAATTTTTTTTATTAATGTGTTAAATTGCGCTTCACATGAAAAAAGCGCGCTTCTCGCTTCGTTGAACCGAGGCCTCCTCGCTTTTTTCCGCTTCTCGCTTTCCAAAACACTGGTTATACTTGCTGTATTCCCTCTGCATTTGGTCTCTAAAATTGCTACTATCATCTTAATTTATGGCATCTGTGAGATTCATCTCGATGTAGTTCTGATACTGAAGTAGACATGCTCCACTTGAACGACATGAGAATATTTGAGGTCACTTTGATCTAGATGCTATTGACATTTCTGGTTTGAAATTCCATGTGTGCTTCATCGTTTAACTAGTTTGGAAGTAGGGTGGATGAGCTGCAGTCGCATCAAGGTGTACAATACTTATCATCAATGTTTTTATTATATACCAGTACTGAACTGTTATGCATAAAGTTCGATGTTACCTATAAATAAATCAAATTTTTTCCAGCAAACATCATGGTACTAATGTATTTCACTATAAATGACATTTCTTTGTGTATATCTGGTCTAGCCCTTCAAGTTTCAATCACAACCTTACAGCAACAAAAATGCATTAGATTCTGTTTAATGGATTCTCGACATGATCATGTTAAAGCTGAATTTTGTGTGAGATAGTTGTTGTTCCATGTAGTTAGTTTAGATTGAACCTTCAGTTATCTCATCAGTTGAATTACTTCTCCGAGATTTAAACTCTAATTCCTTCCAGGTTTGTTATTATTAAAAGTCTTGTTCATAATGCTGTTCCAAAATCTCAGATCTCAATGTTACTTTTAATACTTGGGATATCAACAAAGTTCATGTGTAATCTGATAAATTGATTTGAATTATTCAATTTTTTAACTTTAATAGACCATGTGCATTTTGTTGAATCTCTCTAGCCACTAAAATTGGTTTGATACTTTCTAACCTTGTCTCCTCTACTGAAACCTTATGCTATTTATCTGGATCTTTTGATTTCCTTGTAGATATCTCAGATAAGATCGTGGAAAGTCTGTGCAAAAAACGGCGGAACAAACTTTTATTACGTGCTTTACCTGAAGGGGAGTCTTCCCTGATTGAAGGCGACAATATGAATGATGAACTAGATTTACGAATTGCCAGTGTACTTCAGAGTACTGGTCATCATTATGAAGGTGGGTTTTGGAGTGATTCTACAAGGCAGAACCTATCAGATGGTAAAAGACATGTAGCCATAGTCACAACTGCTAGCCTTCCTTGGATGACGGGAACAGCTGTAAATCCTCTCTTCCGAGCGGCTTATTTAGCCAAATCTGAAAATCAGAATGTTACACTGTTGGTTCCATGGCTATGTAAATCTGACCAAGAACTGGTTTATCCAAACAATCTTACATTTAGTTCGCCAGAAGAGCAGGAGCTCTATATACGCAGTTGGCTTGAGGAAAGAGTTGGTTTCAAGACTGATTTCAAGATTTCGTTTTATCCGGGGAAGGTATTCCTGGTGAATTAATTGCATAGTATTCAGAAAAAGAAAAAGAAACTACTGAAATGATGTGATTATTTGATACTTGTTTTCCTCTTCCAGTTTTCCAAAGAAAGGCGAAGTGTACTACCAGCTGGAGATACTTCTCAGTTTATACCATCAAGGGATGCTGATATTGCAATCTTAGAGGAACCAGAACATCTGAATTGGTACCACCATGGCAAACGCTGGACTGATAAATTTAACCATGTTGTTGGTATTGTCCACACAAATTATTTGGAGTATATCAAGAGAGAGAAAAATGGGGCTCTTCAAGCTTTCCTCGTGAAACACGTAAATAATTGGGTCACTAGAGCACATTGTGATAAGGTAATATTTGTACATTTTGATTGAGTTCTCCAAACTGTAGAAGAAAATTGTTGATTAACTTGTGTGGACCAAATGATGCATTAGCACTTCAAAGTGTTTATCATCTCCGATTATTTTATGTTGGTCCTAATGGAAATGCTAACTTCCTTGTTTAGGTTCTTCGTCTTTCTGCTGCTACACAGGATTTACCTAAGTCTGTGGTCTGCAATGTTCATGGAGTCAATCCGAAGTTTCTGAAAATTGGAGAAAAGGTTGCTGCAAAAAGACAAGGTGGTCAGCAAGTTTTCTCTAAAGGTGCATATTTCTTGGGCAAAATGGTTTGGGCGAAGGGTTACAGGGAGTTAATAGACCTGTTAGCAAAGCACAAAAGCGATCTTGATGGTTTTAATATGGATGTATTTGGTAATGGGGAAGATGCTCATGAAGTGCAGAGTACAGCTAGGAGGTTAAATCTGAATGTCAACTTCATGAAAGGCAGAGACCATGCAGATGATTCTCTTCATAGGTAAGAATCCTTCAAAAACCAAAAAGAAAAACCTTTTCTGCCATTATATGAAATTGTAGAGAGCGGACTTTATTGAAGTAACCTCATGGAATCTCCTAAGCAATGATTACAATATGTATGTATGACTTTATTGAGGATGTCCTATTGGATCTCCTGAGCAGTCATTCTAAGGCACCACGGATGGATTGTTTTACAGAATTTACATTATTTAGATATTTTGGTCGATTGTGGCAAAATAATATATAGCAAGGATACTTCGAGATAAATTAAGCATAGGTTCTACCTACAATATGCAGATTATGAGAACGAAGTACACATTCTTATTTTCCTTTTTTTCACATTTTTCTCTTTGCTGTTTGTTCGAATGAGTGCAATACAGACACACACACACACACGAACACACTCTTTCTTTGATTTGAAAGCATCTTTGGGGATTTTTCTACATTTTGGTTCTTTAAATTACTTGATTTGAGAGGCGATTATTTTTCTGCATTTTGTTTGTTGCGCTAATCGTCACATGCCTAAAGATGTACCCCGCATCTAGTACTTCATGGTTTACTTTTTCTGACAGATAAATTTTTGATTGCAGTTATAAGGTCTTCATAAATCCTAGCATCAGTGATGTACTGTGTACAGCCACAGCTGAGGCACTCGCTATGGGGAAATTTGTAGTTTGTGCAGATCACCCATCTAATGAGTTCTTCCGGGCATTTCCCAACTGCTTGACCTATAAGACGTCTGAAGACTTTGTAGCTAAGGTTAAAGAGGCACTAACGAATGAGCCTCAGCCTCTCAGTCCCGAGGAACAATATAAGCTTTCATGGGAAGCTGCAACTCAGAGATTCATGGAATATTCTGACCTCGATAAGGTTTTGACTAGTGAAACACGCAGGGAGAGGAGAAGCAGGAAGGGCATGGGAAAATCAGTTTCCATGCCTAACCTTGGAGGGATGGTTGATGGCGGTCTGGCATTTGCGCATTATTATCTCACAGGGAACGAGTTCTTGAGGTTGTGTACCGGTGCAATACCGGGATCACGGGATTATGACAAGCAGCATTGCAAAGATCTCCATCTCTTACCTTCGCAGGTAGAAAACCCGATATATGGCTGGTAGATGTATACGTTATTGACCTGTATATCATTATTCTCAATGTGTACCATAGGTGTGAAGTTCTTACCTATATCTTAGGTTTCATTTTGATGATTTTTTTTAGCTACTGATGCAGTAAAAACTGCAAGAATAATAAGTAGGATGTGAAAATTTGTAAAAATATGATGTATCCTCTCGTCTCGCTCTAGCTTCCTTCTTTGAGTTTCAAGGTAATCGTACCGATGGTACATCATCAAGTGTTGGATCAAGTTCTTTTAAAAGAAAAAAAAATTGGCCGGGTTGAATATTTCCATCACATGGAGACGCAACCAATAGGACCCCCTTATGCTGTTGTCAATCTAATATGCAACAACGTATCCGGTATTATCTTACACCGTGGGGTTTGGGGAGGGTAGTGTGTACACAGACCTTACCTCTACTTTGTGATAATAGAGAGCTTGTTCCAATAGACCCTCGGCTAAGGAAAGCATAAGCACCACATTAATGAAAATATAGACAAGAAGGGACAGTACCAGAAAGCTATATAAACGCAGAATAAAAATAACAAGTTAGTAAGGTAATCAACAATGAAAGAAAACAAAGGTTAGTCATAAAAACCTACTACCAACGGAAAGCGAGATTGTGTGTCAATACTACTATTATGAACACTCTAAACTACCTACTCTACTGCTCTAATCCTCGACTTCCATACATTTCTATCAAGGGTCATGTCCTCGTTCAGCTGAAGCTGCGTCATGCCTTGCCTAATCACCTCTCCCCACTTCTTCTTTGACCTACCTCTACCTCTCCGTAGTCCCTTCAATGTCAACCTCTCACACCTCCTCACAGGGGTGTCTATACTCCTCCTCCTCACATGCCCAAACCACCTAAGCCGCGCTTCCCGCATCTTGTCCTCAATAGGGGCCACACCGACCTTGTCGCGAATAACCTCATTTCTGATCCTATCTAACCTTGTGTGCCCGCACATCCATCGGAACATCCTCATCTCTACTACCTTCATCTTTTGGACATGAGCGATCTTGACTGGCCAACACTCCACCCCATACAACATTGTTGATCTGACCACCACTCTATAGAACTTACCCTTAAGTTTCGGTGGCACCTTCTTGTCACACAAAACACCGGAAGCGAGTCTCCCTTTCATCCATCCCGCCCCAAAACGATATGTGACATCTTCATCAATCTTCCCATCCCCATGAATAATAGACCCAAGGTACTTAAAACTCCCTCTCCTAGGGATGACCTACGAGTCCAGCCTCACCTCCCCTTCCCCTCCTTGAGTCTCACCACTGAACTTACACTCCAAGTATTCTGTCTTGGTTCTGCTCAACTTGAAACCTTTAGATTCCAGGGTCTGCCTCCATACCTCTAATTGCGCGTTCACACCGTCTCGCATATCATCAATCAATACAATATCATCTGCAAATAGCATGCACCACGGCAACTCCCATTGGATATGGCGCGTCAGTACGTCCATCACCAGATCAAACAAAAAAGGCCTGAGTGTCGACTCTTGATGCAACCCCATCATAACCGAAAAATGATCTGCGTCCCCACTCACAGTCCTCATTCGGGTCTTTACTCCATCATACATGTCCTTAATCAACCTAACATAGGCAACAAGTACACCTCTAGCCTCCAAACATCTCCACAAAACCTCCTTCGGAACTTTATCGTATGTCTTTTCTAAGTCGATAAACACCATATACAAGCTCTTCTTTCTCTCCCTATACTGCTCCATCAATCTCCTAACAAGGTGGATGGCTTTTATAGTCTAACACCCCGGTATAAACCCAAACTGGTTCTCGAAAATAGACACACTCCTCCTCATCCTTAACTCTACCACTCTCCCCAGACTTTTATAGTATGGCTAAGTAGTTTGATACCCCGATAGTTATTGCAATTTTGGATATCACCCTTGTTCTTGTATACAGGAACCATCGTGCTCCACCTCCACTCTTCGGGTATCTTCTTCGTTCTAAAAATGACATTAAATAACCTAGTGAGCCACTCCAAGCCTGCCTTGCTGCACTCTTTCAAAACTCCACCGAGATTTCATCCGGTCGGTCGCTTTGCCGGTGCTCATCTTACGCATAGCCCCTTCAACTTCATCAACTTTAATCCGCCTATAATACCCAAAGTACAACGACTTCCGGAGAGTTCCAAATCACCCAATACAATGCTCTTGTCCCCTTCCTCGTTCAAGAGACTATGGAAGTAGGTCTGCCATCTTTGACGGATAAGCCCCTCATTTAACAAAACTCTACATTCTTCGTCCTTGATGCACTTCACTTGGTCCAAGTCACGCGCCGTCCTTTCTCGCGCCTTGGCTAACCTGAACAACCTCTTATCCCCACTTCGGCCCTCGAGTTCCTCATACAAACGACTAAAAGCTACAGTCTTGGACGCCGTAAATGCTAGCTTTGCCTCTAATCTGCATACCATAAAAAGCAAACGTTGTTAACTAATATTAGCCCTCTTGGTTTAAATACGAGTTCTCCAATGCTTAACAATACACCGATTATAATGTAGAGATCAATAATGCATGCAACATAATGCTGAGATATTTTTATTAAATATTTGATTTTTGATATGTTACAAATTAATATACAGTGTGTAACTTATAATTGTTTATATTGTAAACAAAATAAAATATTAGTTGCTATTATGGGGTTTATTTAATCGTTATAGGGTTATTAATGCATTTATTACTAATATTCATACTCTCATTCCACATGGTGCCATGTTTATAACAATACTAGCCTTAAGATACGCGCTTTGCGCGTGTTCACCAAGTCAATGAATGAATAACTTTAAAAAGATAAGTTCAAACACGAATTACACTTTTAATGACATAACTATATTTTACAAGAAAATAATTATACAAAATTGGCACATATACAATAGTTATATATCTAATTCAGGAGAAAAATGTTTCTTGAATGGAACTTTGAAGTTGCTCTACGAAATTCAAATATGCATGTTCCTAGCGTATGTTAAAGAAAAATATCATAAATAAATTGTTTAGTTTATATAATTTAAATTTTAATTAATTTTAATATCCTAAATATTAAGACTTTCTATATAATATTTCAAATAAGAATGTGTTAATAAGCAAAGTTTTAGTTGACCTTAAAATCCTAAATCTTTGAAAAATAATTAAATAATTTTGTCTAATATGAAATCTATATTCAAAAGTGTTACGATACATGCTTTCTCTAACGCGCAAAGCAATTCCTAGTCTATAGCACATGCGTTACGCGTGTACCAGGTTCGATAAAAATATAGTTTTAAAAATAACATAACTAATATTCAAAATATATGCTTGAGATAATTAAAAGATCTTCTTTTTTAAATTATGGATTGAGAAATTATAATGTGATGCTTGATATAGGCATATAGCTATAAAGCTCTCCTAGTGAAGGTAGATGATTTGCGCTTTTAGTATAGTATTAGTTTCAGTGTACATGCGTTGCGTGTGTAAGCCGTGTCTGTTTGAGAAAGAATTACTTATCACGTGAAGGAACTATGTGTAATAGTAATTAATGTCCAATTTGGATTCAACATAAAATTGAAATGTAAAAATGAGTGTAAATACATTGATGTAATAATTGAATTCAAATAAGGTCGTGATATGTATAACATTTATAATTATAAGTAATATATTGTAAGAGTTAATAACATGTTATGTTGTTCTATCTTGCTAATATCTCTTTGTAGACAATATTCTTGGTGTATGTGCCTCTTCGTTTCTTCGGTTGCTCTGTCACGACCAAAACTCTTGTTGTTGATACCGATATACCTCTTGAGAGTGCAACATATAGTAGCCAATATGAAAAAATATGTTATGGCAAGTACAATCTAATTGGAGTTGATTTGGGAAAGAAAATTCTCATTTCGGAAGCTTTAAGTTGAAAGAATTGACTAAGATTGGATTTTTGAGTAAACGACCTCGGAATCGGGATTCGAAGGTTCTAGCAGGTTCTTATGATGATTTCGGACTTGGGCGTATATCTGGATCGAATTTTGGAAGACCCGGGAACGTTTCGGCACCTATGTGGAAGTTAGCATTTTTGGAAGAATTTCATAAGTTTGGGTTGAAGTGCGTTTCAGTGTTATCAATGTCTGTTTGGGATTCCGAGTCTAAGAATAGCTCTGTATGGTGATTCTGGTATTAGGAGCGCGATCGGAAGTGAATTTGGAGGTCCGTAGGTCATTTTGAAGTCATTTGGCTAAAGATAGAAATTTGAAGGTTTTTGAGAAGTTTGACCGGAAGTGGACTTTTAGATATCGGGGTCAGAATCCAATTCCGGAAGTTGGAGTAGGTTTGTAATGTCAAATATATCTCATGTGCAAAATTTGAGGTCAATAGGACGTGATTTGATAGATTTAAGCATTGAAAGTAGAAGTTTAAAATGTTAAAGTCCATTAAGCTTGAGTTGGAGCGCGATTCGTGGTTTTAGCATTGTTTGATATGGTTTGAGGCTTCGAGCGGGTCCGAATTATGTTATGGGACTGTAGTGTGAGATCGGACGCAGTCCCGGGGGCCTCGGGTGAGTTTCAGATGTGCGTGAGGAGTTGGAACACACCAGATTTTCTGGTGTTCTTGGCAGCAGTTGTAGGTCTCGCAAATGCGAGAAATAGTTCGCATTTGCGAACTCGCATTTGTGAGTGAGGCTTCGCATTTGCGAAGGAGCCTAGCTTGAGGCAGAGTTCACATTTTTGAAATTTGATCGCATTTGCGACCTCATTAGGGTTCACATTTGCGAGCTCTTAGTTGCATTTGCGACCTTTGCAAGGGAGGCCCATGTTCGCAATTGTAATGGTTTTGTCATATTTGCGAACCAGGTGTCGCAAATGCGGCATCTGAGGCCTATGCACAGCTATTAATTTCGAGACTTAGACCCTTTAGCTCATTTTCTTTCATCCTCTTAGGCGATCTGGGAGATTTCAAAGAGAGGATTTCAACCTAGCATTGTGAGGTAAGTTATTCCTACTTAATGTGAGTTTAATACTTGGGTTTTGGGTAGATTAACACACTAAAATGAGTGAAAATCATGGGATTTGAGTGAAAACCTAGGGTTTTGATAAAGTTAGATTTAACCATGAAATTTGTTATGAAATGAATTAGAAATCATATATTCTTGAACCTTAGGTTATGGGTAACAACTTTCTTCAAAAATTTCCGGAATCCGGACACGTGGGCTT